ATATGTATTCCCCCAAACTTCAACACAATAGTTGATATATGAAAAAAACAAAGAAAAATATAAAATACGCATTGTTTTATAATTTAATAAATCTCTTATACTACCCAAAATATAAATACTTTTGACCATTTTCTTTCTAATATGTTCAATATGAGATTTCCATGTCAAATTCTGAATTCTTGAATCTCCTGTTAAGAAAAATTTAAAACTCTTGAGTAGTTTGAATGACGTTCATTAGACTTAACCTCTCGTCACTACACATAGAAGGCAGCTAAATTATTTTAATCATTTATGCACTCTGACTCTTCCCTACCAACCCACCAATAGCAAGATTTCCTCTTTCTACTAAACTAGCACGGTTTAACAATTCCTGTTTTACCGTACTTTAAAATGACATTTTTCCCACTGTTTCCCTGTTCAGCTCACCACATCCTGGTGGAGTTGGAAGTTTCGAAACTGGATAAGAGCGCTGAGATTGAAGTGACCCTGACAGCTGACATCCTGGAAACAAAGCAGATCCTCAGGCTGTAAGTATCACAAATACCATACGCATGTCATATTGCAAAGATCCTACTCTTTAAAGTTAATGAATAGTACAATATGTACAGTTGGATGTACTGTATTCAGTTCCATACCTAAAAAGAACAAATTAAAAAATTAGGAATGACCAAAACTCATCGCTAGCCGAAAAATCTGACTTTAAAAATGTCTGCATTCAGGATCTGAATCCCTGAACGTGCACTTTATTTGGTAAAGTATATCAACAGTTTCGGCGTTCCCAAAAAAGCATCTGTTCTTGATGTTGCGGATCCCACATGAGGTGACTGCATCATGTAGGTTTTGTACCTGTGCATCCTTGATCTCCACTTCTGTTACATCCCAAAGTGTCCTTCTGAATTCAGAGCAGGTTATGGTCTCATGAGCACGTCACTTTCATGAGACCCGTTTGAGAAAGCAGCTTTTTGCTTTGTGATGTTTAGCATTATCCTGCTGGAAGCTGCCATTAGAAGATGATAAGTTGGGGCTATATAATGATGCACATGTAGGCTGATGCTTATTTGGTATCAAGAGGCTCAAAGTGCCTAAATAGTTGATTGAAGACATACAGTAAAGGAAGGTGAGCTGAGATTTCAGTAACTGTTGAATAAGACCACATGATAAAAGATAGTTGTTCCTGTGTTTACAGAGACTAAAAGACAGTGATGAATATTGGTGGTATTTTCATACCAGTTTGCAGGTAAATTAAATTCAATAGGAATGTATTAGAAGTCATTCTTTGTAAGCAATTTTTGTGTATTGTTTTTTTTTGTGTTCACTTTTTATTTTATCAGATGTATTGTATGGGTAGAATAGTTCAGATGGGAAAAGTTTTGGGAAAACGTGTTTTCAGAGCACAAGTTTAGTGAGTTTAGTCATTTTTTTTATTAAATCTGAAGAATGGCACCACCTTTGTTTTAGCTGTGACTTCCCAGTATGATAAATGTTGATTGTGTGAAAGCGCCTGTCTCATCTTGTGTGGTTTATTATTTTCACATGCACTATATGTGTGTATTACAGTCAGACAGATACAACAGTGTACAGGACGGTGATGGCTCACTCTACCCCCCAGTGTGAAATCAGCTCCATCAGGCTGACAAACACAGGAGCTCGCTTCTACAGACAGGCAGAGATCCACGTCAAGTCTGTCTGTGTGACTGAGTTTCCCTCTCTCAGGTAGGACGCAGACACAACATGCACATAAATACAGTTCAGTTCAGCCGCCGGTCCTATTCTCATTGAAACAAATACTGGACTGCTTTTTTTAATATGTTCTGTAGCACATAAAAAGTCAAACACAACATTTACCAATGAATTTTAACAAGGCACGATTTACAGGCAAACACCTGTATGCTCAGCATATGCTACAATTGCTTATTCCATCCATCCTTTCCATTTTCTTAACTTATTAGGGTCATCTGGAGTTTATCCCTGCTGTCTTTGGATGATAAATTTGCCAAAATATGTAAACACACAGCTTCAGTTTGTTGTTATTGCAGTTTCCTGTTACAGTACTTTGGACAAACAGAAGCAAACGTTGCTGCAATGAGTCAATGAAGGTATAGTTTTCAGCAATACATGTTGTTGTTTTGTCACCCAAAGCCTTACAGCAAATTGCTCTACAGAAATGCCAGCGATGGTGTTCTCTCTTTAGGTAATTAAGAAACAGGGTAAACGGACATACTAGAGAATAGTGTCAGGTCTGTCAGCTGTTTAATGTGCCAGTCCTGCAGTCTGCTGAAAGGTTATGTCATGATATGAGAGAGAGTTGAAACCAGACCGTGCCAGTAACACACAGTGTTGTCCAAAATGTAAAATCCATTCATTCTGTCCTTTTTGTCCCACCCTTAGGTTGGCATAAACCTGAAATGACCCTGAAATGAGTAGTTTACAGAGCATTACTGTTCCTCAGAGATCACCAGTGGGCGGCCTTCTCTTTGTGATCAGTAGCTGGAAGTTGAGTTACTTGAGCTTCAGATCAAATCTAACCTTTTGCAGAAAGTGTGAATTTGGCCAGTATCAAAAATGTGCTTAAAGTTGCTTAAATAGTTCTTTATTTCACTTTGGGGAGTGTAGAGAGCTGACCACATGATTCATGATTGCGCCATCTCGTCTCTCACCCCAGTGTTTCCTGTTTATCTCGCCTCTCTTTCTATGAACAAAAAAGGCTAACAGGCCAACATTAATCGTCCTAAAAATCAGTATTTGGACACTGACACCATGTTTGTAATTTTGCCTCTGTACACCACCACAAGGGACTTTAAATCAATCAAGATATGATTGTAGTGCAGACTTACAGCCATTTTCAGAAGCTGAAAAGTAATTGGACAAACTAATATAATTTTAAATATAAGGACTGTTTTTAATACTCTATGAAAATCCTTTGTGGTCAATGACTGCCTAAAGTGTAGGACTCATGGACATTACCAAAGCCTACAGCTGCCTTCAGATGCTGCTTCTTTGTGAGTGTCTTTGCATTTAGTTTTATCTTCAGTAACTCAAAAGCTACATGCTACAGAGTCTACAGAACTGTGCAGACTCTTTCAGATGTTTTTCTAATCGGTCTAATCTGGCCTTACTGTTCTTGAGAATAATCAGTGGTTTGCACCTTTTTTGTATTTCCATTCATGAAGGTCGACTTTGACAGTTATTTGCAGCGGTGCACATACAGTGGGGCAAAAAAGTATTTAGTCAGCCACCGATTGTGCAAGTTCCCCCACCTAAAATGATGACAGAGGTCAGTAATTTGCACCAGAGGTACACTTCAACTGTGAGAGACAGAATGTGAAAAAAAATCCATGAATCCACATGGTAGGATTTGTAAAGAATTTATTCGTAAATCAGGGTGGAAAATAAGTATTTGGTCACCTCAAACAAGGAAAATCTCTGGCTCTCACAGACCTGTAACGTCTTCTGTAAGAAGCTTTTCTGTCCCCCACTCGTTACCTGTATGAATGGCACCTGTTTGAACTCATCATCTGTATAAAAGACACCTGTCCACAGCCTCAAACAGTCAGACTCCAAACGCCGCCATGGCCAAGACCAAAGAGCTTTCGAAGGACACCAGGAAAAGTATTGTAGACCTGCACCAGACTGGGAAGAGTGAATCTACAATAGGCAAGCAGCTTGGTGTGAAAACATCAACTGTGGGAGCAATCATCAGAAAATGGAAGACATACAAGACCACTGATAATCTCCCTCGATCTGGGGCTCCACGCAAGATCTCATCCCGTGGGGTCAAAATGATCATGAGAACGGTGAGCAAAGATCCCAGAACCACACGGGGGGACCTGGTGAATGACCTGCAGAGAGCTGGGACCAAAGTAACAAAGGTCACCATCAGTAACACACTACAACGGCAGGGAATCAAATCCCGCAGTGCCAGACGTGTTCCGCTGCTGAAGCCAGTGCATGTCCAGGCCCGTCTGAAGTTTGCCAGAGAGCACATGGATGATACAGCAGAGGATTGGGAGAATGTCATGTGGTCAGATGAAACCAAAGTAGAACTTTTTGGTATAAACTCAACTCGTCGTGTTTGGAGGAAGAAGAATACTGAGTTGCATCCCAAGAACACCATACCTGCTGTGAAGCATGGGGGTGGAAACATCATGCTATGGGGCTGTTTTTCTGCCAAGGGGACAGGACGACTGATCCGTGTTAAGGACAGAATGAATGGGGCCATGTATCGTGAGATTTTAAGCCAAAACCTCCTTCCATCAGTGAGAACTCTGAAGATGAAACGAGGCTGGGTCTTCCAACATGACAATGATCCAAAACACACCGCCCGGGCAACAAAGGAGTGGCTCCGTAAGAAGCATTTGAAAGTCCTGGAGTGGCCTAGCCAGTCTCCAGACCTCAACCCCATAGAAAATCTGTGGCGGGAGTTGAAAGTCCGTGTTGCTTGGCGACAGCCCCAAAACATCACTGCTCTCGAGAAGATCTGCATGGAGGAATGGGCCAAAATACCAGCTACTGTGTGTGCAAACCTGGTAAAGACCTATAGTAAACGTTTGACCTCTGTAACATAACCTTTGTTGGCAATAACAAAGTATTGAGTTGTATTTTTGTTATTGACCAAATACTTATTTTCCACCCTGATTTACGAATAAATTCTTTACAAATCCTACCATGTGGATTCATGGATTTTTTTTTTCACATTCTGTCTCTCACAGTTGAAGTGTACCTCTGGTGCAAATTACTGACCTCTGTCATCATTTTAGGTGGGGGAACTTGCACAATCGGTGGCTGACTAAATACTTTTTTGCCCCACTGTAAGTGGTCCGCAGGTGTGCATGCGCTGTCAAAATAAAAGCCGCGCACCAGATAAAAAATTGCAACGCGCGTTTGTGTGCATGTAAAAGGCAGTGTTTTTGTCCGCTACCGTGGGATTTTCACGGCATATTCTGCACCACATCTCTATGTGTTCATCATTTGTTTGAAACCAGCTCACCTCCTGCAACCACTTTTCTGAGAATACGCGCTTCTTTTGCGGTTCGGACTCCTTCTGACATTTCTTTGGAGGTGGAGGAACACCAAAGTAACTGCTTAAAGGAGTTAATAGAGTTTAAGAGAGGAGGAAATGTCTGTCCTCCTCCAGAAAATCTTATGTACGCAATCGCGCGTTGCAACTTCTTATCTGGTGCGCGTCTTTTATTTTGACAGCGCATGTGCACCTGCGGACCACTTATGTGCACCCCTGGTTATGTGTCTACCTCCCTGAGAGTGTTCTTGACTCAGATGTTTTTCTTTACCTTGATAATAATTTTCCAGTCATCTACTTCTTCTGTCTTCCATGGTCTTTTGCTGGTACTGCTGATTGGGCAGTAAAGTCCTCCTTTATTTGTTTAAGATCATTTCTAAAAAAAAATTCTTTCTTCTTCAAATTTTCAAATGCTAGACTGGTGAGCTGTCCAGGGTGCACCTCGCTTCTCTCCCTGTGATAGCTGAGATGCTGGCATAGTCTCCAGGATCTGCTTAATTTGTCATGGAATTGTAGGAAACTGAGCTCATTTGGCCATAAAAACTGTTTATCAATTGTCCAGTTACTTTTGAGCCTCAGAAAATGGGCACTACATATAAAAATGTCAGTGATTCCTAAACAGTTACTGGATTCTTACAATGAATATGCTACATATATTCACTTGGACTAAAGTCTGTTTTGCACAAATGTGTGTTTTTGTTTTTATTCTTTCAGGCGCAAAGATCCTGTGTGTGTGAACAACATCAACATCAAACGGGGAGCTCGGTGGTCCCACGACCTTGTGCAGTTGTGTGACTTCTAAAGAGAATGATCTCCTCGACAACAATTGAAGCAAGTGCATAGTGTGCAGCAATCTGACCTATGAAGATACTAACACAGAGATGGTTTCACATTTTTATACCTTGTTTAATTTTGAGAAAATATCATTGGAGTTCAACCTCAGGGGGCGGAGCCTTATATTTTCTAACATCATGACTAAAACTGGGGGGAAAAAAGGTTATTTACATTATCAGTATTTCTGGTACAATATTATTAATATTATAATTATCTTTCTTTTTTGCCTATACTCACTAAAGCGTTGAAGTGTTAATGAAACCAAACAGTCTAGTTTCACATCCTAAACCCTTGTTTTTTGTTCTTTTAGCATTAAATGCAGCAACAAACTCTTAACCATGTCTTTCTTTTCTCCTGATTTCAGGGCTAAAAGGATTTGTCCTTTTGCACTGAGGTGAATCTGTGTGTACTTTGACTTTTTGGGGGTGGAACATAAATCATTTTGAGCATCATCACAGTGCTACATAGTGCGGTTGGGACAGATATGACAGGAAGCTAACAGTCAGAAAATAAACAACTTAAATCATCTGGAGAAATCTTGGCCCCATGAAAGAATGTTTTCTAAATACTTAGACTTCATTTTAGTCTCATCACTCGTCTTTTGAATTCAATAACACACAAATACCGTGATTCACATTATGCCTGTGTATTAAACACACCAATGTTTAAAAACATTTTTAAAAAATCAGGCTTCTAATATATATCACCAGAGATCATGTAAAAGGATGAATTTGGTAATCTGATCACCAATCTAAACATGACACATCAAAACATTGCAGTGAAATGGTAGAAGACAACAGAACCAGTTGGCAGGTAAAATGTTCCAGACAGGTCTGAAAAGATCAAAGATACAAAGCCAAATGCTTTCCAGAGCTTGAAGGAAGATTTGATTGTAATGTACATCTGCCAATGTTAAGCTGTTTCATAACTTAAATCATGTATTGTCAAAGCTATTTAAAATCAGACCCAGAAAATGTGCAGCAACCCTCCTACATTACATCAACATTCATTAAAATAATTATTATTTATTTGTGAAGCAAATTTCCAAAGTGAAATGTAACATTAAATCACGTGAAAATCAAATCTGAATAAAAAACAGTTCCAATCTGAAATGTAAGCAAATTTAGTCACATAATATGAAATGACATTTTAGACATCAAATGTGCTGGTAGGTAACAAAGTGAAGGCTGCCTGTCCTCAGTTCTACAGTGCCAATCAATATGATAGTGTAAATATGATTTTATTTGGGGCCTAATTCATAGATGAGGACATAATATATCAGCAAGATAGCATGTCTGCTGGAGAGATGTTTCTCTGAGTCTTTTAAATTGTTAAACATTTGATTTTATAGTCTACTGTATTTAAAATGTTAAAGGCAGATTTCAGACTCGTGGTACAGAGGCCATGAAAGATCAGATACACTGCAACTGAAGAAAACACCAGCAAATGGAAAAATGTAGCAAAAGCACAAAAAAACACAATGGAAGCGCTAATTAGCATTAGCAAAACAGAAAAAAATAAAGTGGAAAAACACTGCAAAAGCTTACCAAAACAACAACAAAAAATACCCTCACAAAATACTGTTTTTTGGAAGACATTAAAGTGACAGAATAGCTGCAAAAGTGCCAAGCTAACAGTCAACAGCTAATAGCAAACATGTCGCTACAGTATTACATGAATCATGCAATTAAAACACACATTACCTGGATCATTTTCTCCCTCACAACAGAAATAAGTTTTTGTTTGCTGAAGAGATTTACCACTGAAACATTTTTCAATGGGGTCAGTAACATCGCAAGCAAAATAATACGAGAAGGCCCAAATTGAGATTCACTAGCTTAGCTGTAATTGCATTACATGCTAATTAGCATAAAAATATTAATTGTGAAGCATAATTTTGGCTGTTTCACACACACAATTGACCATGTGCACCGTGTACTGTGGCCGTAGGATCACTGCAAAATTTTACAACAAAATAACCGGCGCACAATGAACCTGACTTATGCTACTATGGCTAGTAGCAAACATGTATTTATAGTACCGTATGAAGCATGCGATTAAAACACATTACCTTCCAACTTTTCTCCCTCACAACACAAATAAATTTTCCGCTTCTTTTAAACGAGTCTCAGTGCAATCCTTCATGTTTAGGTTTCTGTCACTTTCACAAATTATTGTCTCCCAAAAAACACTTATGTTGTGAGATTTTGTTTTTTTCTACTTTAATATCTGTTGAGTTTTATTCACTTCCTTCATGTTTTATTCAACTTCTGTGTTTTGTTTTGGCTTTTTGCAGCATTTTTGTGCTTGCCAGTGTTGTCTTAGGTTGTAGGTCATTTACGCTCTCAGGGTCACTGTATTTTGGGATAGCATGGCCTAAAGGCCTAAAGACTAAATGGTAACAAGGAAAATGTTAACACTCCTAAATAAAATGTCAAACTGTTAAAAGATGTCAGTAAGGTTTGTTGTATGACTTAAATTTGAATTCAAATAGTTAAATGTTAAGAATTTATATTCTTCATACTCTGAACTGAAGAACAGGAACAGAGAAAGAGGAGGAGATGGTATGGTAGTTTTTCCAGGAGAGACGTCTCACAGTTTAGGGGTTTCAGTGGGAGCCAGCGGCGCTCTGACCCTCTGGAATCGAGGTGGTAGATTCCCATCACCTCCTGCAAAGCCAACATCAAAGCTTAAATTTAGTTCCATTAAGTTAAGATGGATGCGATCTTGCAGCAAACTCGTGTCCACACCAATTTCCTAATTGCATTACAGATGACGAAAACATGTTGCGCTCCTATAAAGTGAAACAGTAATAAGTAGCAAACTAGAGATACCCTTGTAACAGGATCACACGTGGCATGATGTCAGGTTCTTGGATACCAACTGGCTGCTGAGAGAAGTTTAAGGGATGTCTGCCAAAAAAGCCTTACTAGTAGACAGAGTGCATTGGGTTGTAGTGGATCCCTTGACAAGCACTAGATTTTTGCAGCAGTGTTGTTTCCTTGGTGAAACTAAATGTCGGTCTTATTTCTATTTTAGACGTGGTTGGCTTTTTTTTTCTCAGTTAATTTGTGGTTAGATTTAGGCACCAAAACCACTAGGACCTTTTCATGATGTTAACCAGCTGTTAGGAAGCTTTTCTGTCATAAAACTCTAAAGGCAAAAACACCCACCAATTGTTACCTTTGGCCTTCGTTTTGATGTAAGCCACACAGATGTAACAGTTCTTGCACAGATGAGATGAAATCTGTCTCAGTGTGTGCCAAAATACTCAAAGCTACCTTTGTAGTTCCTTGTATAGTGTCCTCAGGAAACACTCATTTAAACTGGAGTTTAACTGATAGTCAGCAGTTTGTTACTTGTAGGATATGAGAACATATTTCTAAGTTTAACTTCGTCCAGACAAGGTGGGCACCTCTGTGCTGGGTCCTGGCCATGATTTATTTTTTTTGTTAAATGCAGCTGGTGCAGTTTTTCAAGGATTATCAAGGATGACACATTCATTGAATTAACCCCCCCCCCCTTCTTTTTATAGGTTCAACAGCTTCCTTGTCACTGACTCTTACCCGCCTCCAATTTATATTTTAAATTTTCTCATTAATTGCAAGAAAAATTGTCAATATTTGATTGCCCCAAGTGTTTCTTTTCTGTGATACCCAAGGTCGTCCAATCTAGCGCTACAGTTTTGCAGTACAAAGAGACACTGTGGCACTAAGTCAGGGGCGGGGAACTCCAGGCCTCAAGGGCCGGTGTCCTGCAGGTTTTAGATGTGTCCTTAATCCAACACAGCTGATCTAAATGGCTAAATTACTTCCAGAAGCCTGGTAATGAACTAATCATTTGATTCAGGTGTGTTGACCCAGGGTGAGATCTGAAACCTGCAGGGACATCGGCCCTTGAGGCCTGGAGTTCCCCAAAACTGCTGCAAGGAGTCACGGGTGCAAATAATACCAGAAGAACCAAACTGAGATTCCCTAGGTTGGTCATAATTTCATTAAATGCTAATTAACTTAACTATATAGAATTGACTATGTGCCCCCTATGGTCACTGCACTAGCTGCCTTGATGCCCTTATCATGTAGGTTATAAAACAAAATAACGGGCATGCATTAAACCTTTCCATTTGTCTAGGTTCAAAAGCAGGGCTGGGCAACTCCAGGCCTCGAGGGCCAGTGTCCTGCAGGTTTTAGATCTCACCCTGGGTCAACAGACCTGAATCAAATGATTAGTTCATTAGCAGGCCTCTGGAGAACTTCAAGGCATCTTGAGGAGATAATTTAGCCATTTGAATCAGCTGTGTTGGATCAAGGGCGCATCTAAAACCTGCAGGACACCGGCCCTCGAGGTCTGGAGTTCGAGACCCCTGTTCAAAAGGTTGTTGACCCTTTTCCCTCTTGAATACTTGAGTGGATTTTAGCATTTACACTCTCAAGAAACTACTGTGCTTGCCTGTAAATAGCCAGACACTACACGGCAAATATCTGCAGTATACTTGTTCTGTGTTCATATTATTAATGTCATGAATGTGAATGTTGAATGCTGGTCACTGCCTGCTGTGATTCAGAGGAGCAAACGGCTTATGTTTTTCTTCAGTTCCATTTCAGAGTTTACGGTTGCTCATCCACTCACACACAGACCCACAGATGCGATGACTATGATACATTTGCGTGCAAGAAGAGGATTTCTTTCCTTGTAGTGTCCTGATTTTTGAAATTTTGTGAGCATATGATTGCTTGTCCAACCCGCTTTGAAGTCATTGACTCCAATCTGAACTGAGAGGTATGCTGCAGCTATGACAGATTTGACCTGCTGCTTCACAGCTGCTGTGCAACCCAAGCCTGACACTGACTCCACTGTCCAGCTGTGAAACGTGATCCTCCACCTGTGATTGGGCAGGGCAGACAGAGATGGAGGGGAGGGGTGAACAGATAAGCAGACAGAAAGCCAAAGGGTGGGGACACTGGATTAATAGCATGGCACGGAATTTTCTGAACATCCCCTAAATTTACAAGCTCTAATCCTCGTCAGATAAGGACACAGCTGGTGCCTGCCCAACCTCAACAAAGCCTCATCATCATGTAATGAGACAGATGAGAAAGTAAAGAAACAATTCCCCACAGACACACACACACAGAAAATACACCCACACACAGGGCCCGATCGACTGTCTACAACCACAGTGGGCCCACTCTATGTTCATTTGTTAAAGTGTTTTCACTATTTACAGAGAACAAGTTTAACTCTGCTAACTGTGCCAGACATAACTAAGCATGTGAGCTGCGTGGCCAAAGCACACTAATGCATAGCAGCTGGCAGGGAGGGAGTTCTGATTTTAAAGCATGGGAGGAGGCCAGCAGAAAAGAATTCCAGCCACCATTTAATGGCAATCTACCATGAGCATGAACTAGTTAGAAAGTTTTTAACAAAAAAAATACAAGTGCAATGATTAGTCAGATTTATTGTATATGTTGAATACTTTTAAATGCAAAAGAATTCCTCTCAAGATAAATGAAAAAAGGGGAAAAGAGTCAACTTTAGAGCAAAACGACCTTTTAAATCACCTGTTTCGCTAGTGCTGGATGATGTGATGGTGCATTAAATGTTGGCTAAATTAAGCGATCCAAACTATTAACTGTGTGCTAGCTGTAATTTTTTTTTTCTAATTGATAAGCCTTCAATTTGACCTAATCTTAGCACATTTGCTAATAATGCACATGTATCTATTTAATAATAGAAAAACGTGTCCAGTTGTCAAGGATTTACAGACCTTTGATTTGATTTTTTATGTTTAAGTAGAAACACCTTCACTTGAATTTCCAAGCTTCTGTTTCTGAGGTCAAAAAAATGAACCTCATAAATGTGATTTTCTTTTTAGGATATTCTTAGGTCATATATACACACATACTTTTCACATATGTACTTTAACACAAAAGAATACATATGTAATACAAAGTCTTATATGTATAACTTTACATGTAAAACTTTTATGCACTTTCAAAGTAAAAGTATTTATTATTCCCTTCCCTTCAGTGTGTTAATGATATAATTATTAACAATAATATTATAATTTATTGTTATTAATCCATGAACATCTAGGCAGAATATTGGATGGCTGAGACTTGTCAGATTTTATATAATTAACCTTTGAATGTGTTTTTGGGTCATTTGAGCTGTTGATCTGTCGTAATGTAAATAAGGTAAAATTAAAACCACACTAATTCTTGTTAAATGCAGTGAAAATGGAAATACTTAAAATGAATGTACAACCAAAGCAAACACTCAAATGGACTCATATTTTTATTCTGAGACTCTACTAGAGTAGATTTTCCTTGTTTACACATCAAAATAATTCATATTTATAGTTGTGGTCAGAAGTTTACATACACTCAACATGGGCTTGATGTCGAGGCAGATGTGAACTGTTATTTTTCCAGGGTAGAATTGCTCTTTAATGTTTTTTTACAAAACAAGAATTGGATGGATTGTTTTTTGTTTTTGTTTTTTCTCTAATCAACATATGGTTAAAAGTTAAAAGTTTAATCTCAACCAGATGCTTTTGGTAGCTTCTCACATATAACTATGTGGATATGTGACCACTCTTCTTGTCAGACTTGGTAGAGTTCATTGAAATTGGTTGGTGTCTTGGCACAGACCCAGTTTTTAAGTGTATTCAACAAATTTCAAAAGTTGAGGTCAAGGCTTTGGGAAAGCCATTCCAGAAACTTAATGGAGCAATTTCTAAACAACTGCAGATTCCAGGATCATCAGTTCAAAGAACAGTCCCAAAGTACAAGCTGTTCCCCTTTTTCAAGTTACAGAGCACTTTGAGTGCTCAAGTGAAAGTGGAAGCAATATATAAGAACCAGACCATTTATTCAATGTGTCATCGTGTTGCCAAGCTCTGGAAGTAAACTGCAAACTGTTAACCAACTTCCTCTCATCTCAGGGTCAGGGTCATGACCAAAAGGAAGCCTTGCTCCAAAATGAGCTTGACTGAAATTTGCAGCTTCTCACATAAAAAAGCCAAAGTTTTTTGTTCAGACGAGACAAAGATTAAACTATTTTTCCACAATGATGAGGTATGTTTACAGGAGTCACAAGGTTTTCAGACCTAAAGACACTTTACCAACTGTCAACCAAGATGGTTGGACCATCATGTGAAATAATAAACAAGGAAGAGTATCTCCAGATTCTTCAACTTCAACTTGGAAGGGATAAATCAGGCTAACATTAAGATTCTGGAATGGACTTCAACCTCAACCTCATGCTTAATGGTCAGATCCATGCCAGGATATTAAGCAATTTAAATTCAGCCAGAAAGGTGGTCAAATACCCAACCAGAACTGTGCCAGAAGCTTGTCAATGGGTTGTATGTATCCAAAATTCAAAGTTGTGCACCCAATTCTTGTTTTTGATTGTCATTAAAGACGTGTGCTGTACAATCATTCCACTCTGGAAAAAAAAAATCAAGCCCAAATTACCATGCCCATGATGCCTGGATATAAACTTTAGAATTGAGTTCAGTTTTATTTTTATATGGAACCAAATCACAACAGCAGTCATCTCAAGGTGCTTTATCTTGAAAGGTAAAGACCCTACAAAAATCCAAACACATCTGTATCCTTGTATCTTTCACTGGGCCTTTGTGCAGCCCCTCAGTTCATCCACGCTCTGAAACAAGTTGTTTTAGTGCCTGACTGGCTACTCCTCACAAACAGAAGGTTTAAACAGCACATGGGTGGGACTACGATAACCATATTATGAATATGTTCTCTCTTTGACATCATAAAGATCCACGATGGGTAAAACTTCTTGCCCTCAACTTTTGACTCACAAGGATTACCTGATGACTTTCTCATTTGAGACTTGTTTAATAAGAGCATCCGCCATCTACCAACATATATATGACAAAAATGAGGAGTAAGAGTAATAGGTCCACTAATGTTGAATAAAATAATGATTATATTAATTATCATATCAGTCATTATCATTATAATGATTAATATGATTATATTGCAACACAAAGCCGGGTTAGTAACAAATGTGTACCACAAGCCTTCCATGCACACACACCACCCCATGCAACCCTTCGCCCAGGTGCGGTACTTACATGTAGCTTAAGTGGTGCCCCCGTGTGTTAGCTCCAGCACCCTCCCTCTCTACCTCAAATATTCCCTCTCACTGCCATAATCCGTTAAGGAGCCCGCCACATCAGCAAAGTCCTCCAGGACTAGGCTGGTGGAGTCCTCACCGATGGGCAGCTCCGGGTCAGACGCCCAGGAAGGGTGATAAGGGTCATGCAAGGGTTCTTCCACGGCTGTCTTCATTGGTCCCTGAGGTTTGGGCTGGAGAGGCTGAGGTTTAGATCTGTCAGGCATCTGGTAGGTGAGCTCTGGGTCTTGGCACTGCTGTTCAGTTTGTTGCTCCCTGGCAGGGCCTCCATCACTACCGCTGCCACCCTCACTGCCCTGCGAGGCAGGAGCCAGCACGTGGTAGAGGCTTGGCAGGCGGATGTCCAACAACACGCCACTTTTGATGTAGAGCTTGTTGTTGAGGTTGTAGAGCTTTTCAGCAATGTCGTGTCCCAGCATTACAGAGAAGAGACGGGCGATGTAGCGATCCTTTGATATCACCATGTAGAGGCGGCGGCGACGCCATGAGATGTAACGGGAATCTTCCTCTGCTGTCAGGGTCACCTGGGCAGAATGAATGACACACCATACTATCAGTGTATAAAAGAGGCACTTTAGAACATTTGACCACTATTAGCAGCATGGAACAACGTCATTAGAAGCTGGCTCTGGTTTTGCTTGCAAGCACTGGAGCAATAGCCTCACCGACATATTCTCATTCCCAAAGCACCGCATACTGACAAAGCTTCCAGGTAAAATAAATGTAAAGAAAGAAAGAAAGAAAGAAAGAAAGAAAGAAAGAAAGAAAGAAAGAAAGAAAGAAAGAAAAAGTGTAAGTGCCTGAAACCTCGATTCTTTTTAGTGACCATCAGGGGGCGACACCTAGTTGCAAAGAGAGTCCAGTTGCATAGATGTCTGTAAGAAAATGGACGTGTTTCAGATTTGTTTGGTGGCCTGAGAGGTCAAACACACTGCAACCCAAGAAAACACCAGCAAACAGAAAAACGCTACCAAAGCATACAAAACACAAGAGAAGTAATACTGTGGGAACATCTTTGCTATCAGTCGTTTAGTGTTAGCCTGTTCTGTCACTTATGCTGTGATTATTAATTCAACTTTTTTTAAATTCAGCTTCCTTTGCATTTGGAGTGTTTTCTATTTGACAACGTTTTCTTCGGTTGCAGTGCGTTTGATCTTTCAGAGTCACCGTAGCTTTGGGACTTCATTTTTTTAGGAGTTAATCGTCTCAGTCAGTTGTTTATTGCAGAACATTTTCTACATTTTAATGTCACATTTAAAGTAGAATAATTAATAGGTACACTTCATTTGTGGCTAACTCATTATTGATAAGTTGGATGTGAGTATTCCTGAGTTCCTCGGTCAGCGCCACCCCGATCTTATGACTTGTGCTTTAAAAGACTAAACAAAATAACAAGCCAATATTTATCAAAGTCTAATGCATAAATCAGAAGTCACACTGACTATCTTATAATAACTACTGCCTGCACAGCAGGTCACTTTGTGAATTATATTGAGTTTATGGACTACTCTGAGCCTGCTAAATGGGTAAT